TTTTGAGATCCAGCGCCGCCATTGATGCACGGTAGAGATTGCATCTTTAGATCTCCGATCTTGTTCACAAATTCACAGACTAGTGCTGTCTCTTAAGAATTTTGTAGGACGCGTTAAGAATGACAAAATAGTCTCTGTATCTACTGGAACCGAGCTGCATAGCTTGTATTCCACTATTTGCATTCACACCTGGGCTGTGTATATATATTGCCTTGGTTTGGCTCTGTAATCACTAGTGGTCGTGGGAATAGTTTGGCCCTACCTAAGCTGGTCGAATTTTTTGTTTGGGTCTATACCCTAGCTGCACTGATGAGGCCTGGAAGGCTGAAACGGATCCGTCTGCAGATATTGGGATTCCTTCCAGTGGATGCTTAGTTTATTTTGTCATTCTGATCGGATTTTCTCTACTGTTCCGTTTTAATTTTAATTTTAAATTGTTTTGCATTATATGGCCGTTTGCTGTTTTATGGGTTTTCCCCATTTTCCTTTCAAACTTGTTTTTTGTTTTTCAGGCAAGACGTATCATCGGTGATTTTTCAATTGCCATAGCGATTATTTTAATGGTACTCCTTGACTACGGAATCAGCAACATATACACAACAGTATGTTTCACATTTACCTTTGTATGATAAACATTTTTAGAATAATAATGTATTTATTTTGAAGTGGAAATGAATATTTTTTATCACACTGGCATATTTTTTTATGAGGCATTTAATAATACAAAAAAAAAACAGGGCTGATGAATTATTTTATAATTACTTGTAACCTCAATTACAATTCATTTTCAGTGCGTACTTCTGTATATGTAATGAATGAAGTAGCTATTTTAAATATAAAGGAGTCAGTATTTTCTCTCCTTGGGTTGACAGAAATTACAGGTATCCTCAGGTGTGGGAGAAGCAGGATTCCTCATTCATCATCCAATGGGAACCAAGGATAATCCGATGACAGTCAAGATGATATTCTCTGCTGCCATTCCAGCTTTTATGGTCTTCATTCTTCTGTATATTGAAATTCTGCTCACTGGGTAGGTTTCTGAAATATACACTGACAGAGAAATGATACAGATGATGACATGACAGTGACAATGATTGAGGATAATGATGATGCTCTCAGATGATGTTTATGCTGTCAGATGATGATGTTGATGTCAGGTGATGTTGATGATGTCAGGTAATGTTGATTGTGTCAGATGAATGATGTCAGGTGATGCTGATGATGTTAGGTGATGTTAATGTTGTCAGATGGATGATGTCAGGTGATGTTGATGTCAGGTGATGATGATGTCAGATGGGTGATGCAGTGATATTGATGATGTTAGATGATGATGTGTCAGGTGATGTTGATAGTGATAATGTCAGATGATAATGTTGATGTTGGTAACATAATGGTGATGGTTTTGATAATGAAGATGGTTATTATGATGATTATGATAATTATGATGATGGTGATGATAATTATAATTACATGGTGGTGATGATGATTTGTATTTGCTCTTCTCTCTTACAGGGTTGTTGTAAACAAGAAAGAAAACAAACTAAAGAAAGGCTCTGGCTACCACATAGATCTCTTAATTATGGGATTTCTGTCATTTTTTGCTGGACTCCTAGGTTTGCCGTGGATGTGTGCAGCGACTGTACGCACCGTGTCGCATGTAGGCAGTGTCAGTACTTTCAATCATTCATCAGCACCTGGCGTCAAGCCAAAACTGGAGAACATCAAAGAACAACGCGTAACAGGGTTTATGGTTAGCTTTTTAATAGGTAATATGGACATTTTTATCTACATTTTTACAATATTTATTCTCAATTTGTTCTTTGCAATCTGTTTATAATATTTATAGATATAAACTATATTTATAATATTTATATATTATATTTTGTATATATATATACTATATATGTTTGAATACCTACATATATATATACCTGTCTCTTATACACATCTAGATGTGTATAAGAGACAGATCCACGGTGGGGGGGGGGGGTTCAAGGGGCTCGGACGAACCAAGATGGGGATAAGAGACAGGGTCATCACTACATTATTATTATTTTTATTATTATTTACAGTATTATTTTTATCTTCAATATTGTTATTATTACTTGTATAAATATAATATATTATCTTTATAATATCTTTATAATATAATATATATATCTGAAAATATTATATTTATCATTATAAATATTAGTATTAATCTATTTGCCTATGTATAGGCCATATGTGTATACAATTAGTATAATTGTAATTATGTAATCGATGTATACAGTATATATAATTATTATATCATCATTGTCATTATCATTATTACTATTATTTATTATTATTATTAATAATATTATTATTTATCATCAATATTAGTATTATAGTATGATCATTATAAATATTATTAATCTTTTTGCCTATGCCCTGTGTACATCACAGGACGTTAAATGTACGACGGTTGTTGACGGTAATTAGTATTACTGTACACATATACTAAATACCGTTAACAAGCCTTGTTAAAGGTAATAAGCAATTAGTAGAGCTCCGCATAGTACACTATAGGAAAAATATAATATATTATATATTATGGTTGTGCACTATCAGCAATAACATTTGTCTCTATGCACCTTACAGGACAACAGAAAAGAAAAAAAAAATAAATAAATGGTTGAAACAGAAAATAAGTGGTAGAAAAGAAAAACAACACAAAAGGAAAGTGAAAAGAAAACAAAACAGAAGAGTAGAGGAAAATTAGAGATTGTCAAATAAGAATGCTCAGTAATAATGGAAACATTAAGTTCTATTTATTGATATGAAATGATGACTGGTTAGAATCTTTACTTACAGTACAGCGAATCATTACGTAAATCAGATTATGCAAATAACGAATGTTTATGAGTGCGATGAGGTAGAATATTTTATGAAGGTAAAGATTGGATGTTCTGTTGAAGACTAGGCCTAGGCAGTTTTTATTTATTTTTTTCATGGTTGTATTTAAACAGAATAATGAATGTTTGTCATTCGTAAATTGGGATAGAATATTTTATAGAGTTCTATTCAACTCTGCTACGCCTCGTTGAATAAAACACCTTTGACCTCATGAAATAGTCTACTCCATGATCACCTACATAATCGTTGATCATGTTGTTAACAAAGGGACAATTCCATTATTTTTTTAGAATGATATATTTGAAATGACAGCAGCACTTTTGAGACTAACAATATATAATTATTTAGTCTCAGAAATGCTGGTCTCTTATATTGACTAACATAGCTACACTTTTTATTTTTTAGGTAGTTTATTCAAAATGAAAATTGATAACCTAGTATGTTTCTTTCCTCCATGATTCTGCCATATCTGATTATTCAAGTACAGGACAAAATGTACTCTCGATAGACTTAGCAAATAGACAAATTCTTTGTTGAACACTCCTTTAAGATGCAAAACCTGGTAGACTTTGCCAACAATTCAATTCAATTCAAATGACATTTATTCAATGATGGAAATAATAATGGTATACAATACAATACAAATAATAAACCACAATCTTTAGGATCATAATTAGAGGTAAAACTTGTCTCGTCATGACCCAAAAAAGAGAAATGAACTTAAAAGCTACCATAATAACCCTCGTCGATGATTTCCATGAACCCATTGGAACAAATTGTTACCTATTGAAAAGATAACTTTTGAACCAGTCGAGCGTTACACCTCTGATTTCAAAATTTTAAAGTTTGCGAATTAGGATAACATGATCAATAACATCAAATGCCTTCGATAAATCAATAAATAGGCTTAAACATAAATTTCTTATTTTCGAAAGATTTAGTAACATTATCAGTAAGTTCAAGAATAGCATAATAATAATACTATCAGTAATTTTTCATATTTGAATAAAATTTTTACTGAATGTTTTCTTCTCACTCACTCCAAGGGAATGCATGTGAACAATTTATGGAACTAATTTTTGAAGTAGGAGATATGCAGTGGCGGATCCACGGTGGGGGGGGGGGGTTCAAGGGGCTCGGACGAACCACCCTCTGTGAAGAAACTTAACAAATTACAACTGGGTCCTGACTTACAAAAGGCATGCTAACCTACATTGGCATAGGTTGGAAGATCAGACAAACTTGGCTTAGCCCAACTAGTTTTCAATTAAATTATACACACTGTTTTTGGTTCGCCGTCGTAGTAATTTATGTACGAAAGTGCGTTCTTCAGGTCTATCGGTTCATCAATCTATGGAAGAAAAACTACATACCTAACTACTCAATGTTGTTGGAATATATAATATATTGCCTGTCTTTCATTTTTTTCCCTCTATGATAGGAATAAAGAATAAGATAAATTTATTACCTGACCTTTTTTCAAGAGAGGGAACCTTGAATTTTGAAGAACTTAAATGTAAAGGTCATTAAGATACTCCTCAGAAGTCAGGAAATATCATTTCCGGCCATCTAGGAATCAAAATTTTCCCGGCGAGTACCACCGGACCCCCCCTTTTATTTTGGGGTTTTTTTGGAAACATTTTGAATCCCCCTATTTTAAATCCTGGATCTGCCACCGGTATGAATAGAGTTATTAGGTAAAAAAATATACCCCTGTAATAATGGTATGGCTTAACCTCGTTGTAAATTATAATTGAGTCATGTGTGGTGGACAATGCAGCAGCAAATGGTCTATTGATTTTTGCAACATGCTTTCACAAAAATGAATTAAGACTACTTTAAAAACTAGAGGAAACTGTTTGGAGATAACATACTGTATACCTACTGTATTTATATTATAAAACTGTAATTTAAAGTTTCCTTACAGGATGTGTTCTGAACATGAGGATGATCATCACGATGAAGAATCTGTTAATGGATTCAGCAATTTGGATATTTCAGTTGACAGGAATTTAAAGGTGGGGTTTTTAATACCAGGTTTAATAGGCGTTTAAATGATTGAAAATTTGCCAAAAAATCGGACAAGTCTGCACATTGTAGACTCCGGATGAAAACATTTTTTGGTTGTATTAGGAATTTCTTAATTATAGGCCTATTTTTTCAAATGCCTCTTCTAACTTGGATATTAGATTGATATTTTTAAATTAAATATTTTAATTTCAGTTTCAAAAAGGTGAAAAGGAATTTACTGTTCTAATAATCTGAGTAACAGCAAACTAAGTTAAAATGGTCTTCGTCTTCAACTGCTTGCAAAGAACATAATTTATCAGGCGTAGATCCAGTGCTCACGCTATCGCACAGATGGTGTCTTACTCTACTATATTGCACCTGAAATATGGAATAACACTGATAAAAAATCTCAAACAATCGATGTCATCCATATTTTAAAAGAAATTTAAAAACACCCTACTGATCAAATACTAGAGTGCTACACTTGGTTTTTCTTTTCCTACCTTCGTTTTTTATTCTGTTATTATTGGCCTTCATCATTTTAAAAGAAAATTCAATTTATCAATTAAAAATGACTATTTTATTTATTTCTATATTTCAATTTGTTTTAATACTTCATTGATGAAATTTTTAATTGTCATTGTTCTTACGATTCTATCAATTTTATCTTTCCATCCCTGCATCTATTTCATCATAAAACTTTATAGTTTTATCATTAATTTTATTAATTTTATCATAGATTTTTATATATCTTATCATGGATTTTATTAATTTTATCTTTAATATTATGAATTTTATCATAAATTTTATGAATTTTATCATGAATTTTATTAATTTTATCATATATTTTATGAATATACTAAAATTTTATATAAATTTTATTACTGTACTCCTAACTTTCTGCCTCTGTTGTTAAACATAACAAAATCGGTTGTCCTAGAACTACCACCCCCAAACCCGTTGAAATACAGTAGTGTCCTTTGTCATTGGTTTGCTTGCTTTTTAAATTCTTCCTTAGATTTTTATGTTAGGTTAGGTTTATAATTCGTTCGTCCTTCGTATTCGAAGAAGACCTTGATCACCAAGTATATTGGCATGTTCCTAGACCTATAAGTTATCCTTGTGTATACGTTGGTGGCTGATTAGTCCAATGCTGGATTTAAAGTTTCTTGCTGCACGTTTAGCTTTTGCATGCAAGATTCTGTTTTTTTTCAAACCGTTCTATTCCAGTGTGAGTAGTGTGTCTCCAAATGAGTCTATCTGATGCTTGTACTTCAAATGCATTCGGTGAGATGCTGCAATGCTTCAGAGTTGCTTTCAGTGAATCCTTAAAGCGTTTTTTCTGACCTCCTTGGGATCGATTACCTGTCCAGAGTTCACCATATAGGAGCTGTTTTGGTATGCGTTCATTTGGCATGCGTATACAATGCCCAGCCCATCGGAGTTGATGTTTAGAAAGTATGGCATAGATACTTAGCATGTTGGCTTGTTGTAATATGTCAGTATCAGGAACCTTGTCTTGCCATTTAATGTTCAGGAGTTTTCGAAGACTAGTAAGATGGAAGTGGTTTAACTTTCTGGCGTGTCGTTGATACACTGTCCAGGTTTCACAACCATATAGGAGGACTGAAAGGATAACTGCATCGTATACTTTGATTTTGGTTTGTCTTCTGATGCCTCGTTGATTCCACACTCTGGAGGACAGTCTTCCAAATGATGCACTGGCTTAGCAATGCGAGTGTTTATTTCATCATCTAATTGGCCAGTATTAGATAAGGTGCTGCCTAGGTATGTAAACTTGTTGACATACTCCAGCTCTCGGTTATTGACGAAAACAGGTTGTTCAGCATACTGGCATCCTGGTGAAGGTTGGAACATAACTTTTGTCTTGTTTGTATTGATTTCCATGCCAAAGTCTGAACATGCTCTTGTGAAGGAGTCAATGTTACGTTGCATGTCATCATGGGATAAAGCTGGTAGACCGCAATCATCAGCAAAGAGAAGGTCACGTATTCTGCAATGTCTTACTTTTGTCTTGGCTCCTAAGCGTCTGAGATTGAATAATCCACCATCGAAACGATAGCGGATGTCAACACCGGGGTCTTCACTTTTGTAGGCATACATCATCATGGCTGTGAACACCATACTGAATAAGAGAGGCACTAGAACATCGCCTTGTTTGGTGCCATTGGTAACTTCAAACTGGATTGTGCGGTTGCCGTTTTCTATGACGCATGCTTTCATTCCATCATGAAACTGTTTGACCATATTGATGATCTTGGTGGGACAACCAAATTTTTCCATTATTTTCCACAAGCCGTCTCGGCATACGGAGTCAAATGCCTTGGTAAGGTCAACGAAAGTGAAGTAAATATTATTATGTTGTTCAGTACACTTTTCCTGGATTTGTCGAGCAGCAAAGATCATTTAGTCAGTAGTTCCACGGTTCTTTCTGAAGCCGCATTGACTTTCGGGCAGCAGTCCTTTTTCAAAATGATCTACTAAGCGGTTAAGAATGATGCGTGCCAGTATCTTGCCAGCAATATATAATAAGGAGATTCCCCGATGATTTTCACAGTTACGACGATTGCCTTTGCGTTTGTAGATGTGAACTATTTCCGCATCTTTGAAGTCTTGGGGTATTACTCCTTGTTCCCATATTTTCTTGAACAACTTTGTCAGTTTTTGGGCCATGGATTCTTCACATGTCTTGTATATCTCAGCTGGTATAGCATCTATTCCCGGTGCTTTGCCGTTGGATAATTGATTGATAGCTTTAACAGTTTCCTCGATAGATGGTTGAATGTCAAGATTTTTGTTGATATCAACTTGTGGTAGATGCCTTATTGAATCTTCGTTTATAGTGGATGGTCGATTTAGTAGAGTTTTGAAGTATTCAGCCCATTGATTCAGAATCTCTGACTAGTCAGAGATTAGTGTGTTGCCATCGGCACTTATTACTGGTGATGAGCCATTCTTGCGTGGTCCATAGATTGCCTGGACTCCTTCATAAAACTTCCTTGAGTTGTGTGTGTCGGCATAATGTTGAATTTCTGTTGCCTTATTCCATAACCATTTGTCATGCATTTCTCTGAGATCATGTTGGACTTCTGCTTTATCAATAGGTATGCATGTTTGCTAGACGATGTTTTTTGGTTTAGGTAGTGTTTGTATTTTTGTTTTTCCTTGAGTAGTTTTTCAATGATGGGATCATTTTCATCAAACCAGTCTTGATGACGGCGTGTGTTCTGACCTAGGATATCATAAGCCGTTTTGTACACCGTGTCTCTGATGTTTATCCAGTCTTGTTCTACGTCTTCTGCTGAATTGAGGTCCTCGAGTGCAGATGTCATATTCAAAGATAGTTTCTTTGCTATGTCTGGTTGTTTAAGTTTGTTGACTGCAAGGTGTTTCTTAATGGTGTGGCTTTGTGGCCTTCTCTGGCGTTGTATTATGATTTTCATCTTGGAGACAACTAGACGATGGTCGGTCCAGCAGTCTGCACCACACCTCGACTTTGTAACCAGGACGTCAGCTCTGTCACGTAATCGCACGATAACATGGTCGAGCTGATGCCAGTGCTTGGATCTTGGGTGCATCCAGGTTGTTTTGTTTCGGAATGGCTGGTGAAAGACTGTACTCGAGAGTAAGTGATTATGTTCCATACAGGTCTTTAATAGGAGTAGTCCATTACTATTGCATTTACCAATCCCTTGGGTTCCAAGTACTGGCTTTCATGAAATGTGATCGGAGCCAACTCTGGCATTAAAATCGCCAAGAATTATGAGCTTATCCTCTTTGGGAGTTCTTCTGATCAAAGAGTTGAGTTCTTCATAGAATTTGTCTTTGATATCTTCGGTGTTGGTCATTGTCAGAGCGTAAGCGCTGACAATGGTTGCAAACTTCTTTTTCATTAGTGGAAGTCATAAAAACATGAGACGTTCGTTGATTCCTTTTGGAAGACTTGTGAGATTTTTTGCTATGTGATTTTTTATTGCAAAGCCAACACCAGCTTCGCGTCGTTCACTGGCCTCCTGGCCTTCATCAGCATATCGAGTTTCGCTAAGCGCAGCAATGTCTATATTGTATCTGGCAAGTTCTTTTCCTACTAAAGCTGTCCACCTTGCGGGTCTATTACTGCTGTCCCGATCAAGTAGAGTTCGTACATTCTAAGTTGCAAACTTGAGTTTTGTCTCTTTTTTGAATTTTTTATATCTTTTTTGCTCGTTTTGCGACCGCTGAGTGGGATCCCCTTCAGGCGCGGTGACCTGACCAGGGTTGTTTGAAACGGGCAATTTTTAGAGCACCTTCTCTAGCTCCTTCCTCATGCAGTGGAGGTGAGCAGTGCGATCCTGAATAGGGCTACTCAGACACCTATGCGACTGCCGAATCCTACGTCCGTTTCGAATATGCAGAAAGCGACCATATAACATAGTCATGGTGATCATGACTTGCGCGTTAATTGATTTAAGTGAAGGAGGTGTGCGCATAATCCAACCTCACTCTCTCGTTCAGTCATGAGTTGTCCAGGGGCACAGCTTGGCTGAGACGGCTGGGCTCAAGTTGAATGCAGGAGTTGCCGGGACCGTTGTTGCTAACAATCGGGACCGCCTAGGGGACTCCACTCCCGTTTTGAAAAGTTTACTCTTTTGGTTGACATATGGCCGCTTCTAGAAATATTCCAGGCGCGCTTCTTGTCTTTTACAAGGGGTGCATGCCCACCCATCGCCCTTCCACTATCAGTCCCTCAGCTGCGAGGCCAAGGTTAACAGGTAGCACCACAGGTAGGTTGTGGAGAGTGAGATTGAATATTTAGATAAGGGCAGATAGGGTAGAGGAGAGAATTAACAGGAATCAAGGAAGCAAGGATGGTAGTTGTTAGGGTACTGGCTAGGATCCATGAACACACGTGAGACGCATCATAACCACTGACCTTCCCAATGGTGAACTGTGCAAAGGTCTGGATCCACGCCGAATAATCTTAAATTTATCTTTTGATGTTATACCATCTTCCTCTTTCAATTTCTAGACTGTCGTCTTTCTAGACAGCAGCCGGCGCTGTAATAACTTTTAAATTTTTTATTGTTTTTATCTCAACCTGACCTTCCCAATGGTGAACTATGCAAAGGTCTGGATCCACGCCGAATAATCTTAAATTTTTCTTTTGATGTTATACCATCTTCCTCTTTCAATTTCTAATTTTAATATCCCTTAGACAAGACTTTTT